TATCTATTTCTTTTATTCATATCATTTATAACGTAGTCCATCCACTTCTTTTCAGTTGTCTCTTTCCTTTATACCTATTTACATTTATATTTAATACCTACCTCAAAACATGACTTTCATCCCTCCGCATGACACCTTCATACCAAAACAATCGATTACTTCACAACTTTTCTGTTACTGACGAAACTTTTACATTTCCTTGCTTATAATCGTATTTTATTTTGACATTTCTTTGTGTTATGATGTATAACTTTTTTATACCACGAAAGTGACAATCAAGCATACAGCTCATCTGATGGTAAATTGTCACTGTAGCCTATAGATATCTGCAACACTAGAGGTGTCACATACGTGTTGTCATCGCTAAGATAAGACTTATATAACCTAACATATATAAGATACTATCAGAAATAATTGAAAAATTATCTTATTAAATATTTAATTATACGCCATTAGATTATATAGATAGAGTGTTTCCGTACATATACTTCGAGAAAAGCGGGTTAACTTTTTCATACAATTTTACGTGTAAATTGTCATGAGTAATCATTTTATAACTTCGATATTTATTTTGTCTTAAAATTTCTGCATCTTATTTATGCGTAAATACTCATTTTATTTATTAAATAATATGTTAAAAAAAAATGCGTAAGAATATAGAACATTAATAAAAAAAACAAGTCAACTAATTTGACAATTAACTAACAAAATATTGACCCGTTTTTGAGATTCGATGTTCTATTTATATAATCTAAGTATATTCTTTAATTATAGAAAAGTAGGCACCAATTTATTTGGGCATCATTTAAAAGTTAATTCGAAATAAAAAATATAATATGAATATAATATGAACCTGAGATAACAACATCTTTACGGTAACGGAGTTACACTTGGTGTAATGTAAATAAAATACTATCTACTTACCTAATGGTAGTGACACTATCTCGTTGCTCCGCTCAAGTTACTCATTATAATTAGGCTCCTCTTTAACTATTATGTCAAAGTATATTCGGCGAAGACAAATTAATTGATTATCAACTTTCCAAACGGATTCAGAAAATACTGAAATAAGGGTATACAAAAAGCCAATGGTTTTGGTAACAAAAGACCTTTATATTTGTCACGCAAACAATAGAAGTAGATAGATATCTTTAATTTCCTGAGGATGTTTTGGATAAATTGAAATAATTTTATTCTGTCCAACCAGTATAACATTTATGTTTAATAGTATCTATTACTCAATTCAGTAAATTTAATAACACCAGGAGATATCCAAAGCAATTGTACTAATGGAATGTTATTTCCAGTCGTAGGCATACATTCTCCTTTAATATATAGGTAACTCTTTCCATACCTATATATTAAAAGAGAATGTATGCAATGTTTACTATTTTTTTTAAATATATTCATTTACCTAATTATGAGCCGACTTCCTATTATCAATTACGAAAATGTCTTGAAACAAATTATTAAAATAAAACATGATGCAAATATAAACAAATGTATAATTAATCCAACCTATTAAAATTAGACAATCTATTTGTGTCGATTTTGCTACAATTATATTTAGAGAGTGTTTCTGTGATAATTTTAACAAAACTTGTTTACCTTTTCATAAATAAAATGTATCCTCCCTGGAATTGTCTGGTGCGTGCCATAAAATACAAGTGAAACTTTTGCTACAAGTACATGTCGAAAGTACGGCTTTTGTAAAAAACCAAGCTGAAAAATAATATTAAATACACTAATGGTCTGAGATGAAGCACGATTTTTACAGATATATAACTGCTTCTCATGAATAAATAACAAATTAACTATATTTTGTTTACTAGAACGAAATGTCTATACAAATACGAGCAACAAATATATGTCTACTTACTTAATTTAACAATTTTCTCAGCAGATAAGTGACTTTATTTGTTAAGGTTATTCAGAGTATCATGAATGCTCTCCTAATGATAATAAATTAAGCATTACAGTATTATATTTACTGATAACAAAATTATTACTAAAATATAACGAGAGAGGGGCAGCAGCTTTCCTCTTAAAATGTCACCAAAGCCGAACTGCGGTTACCAATCCGCCTGCCAAGCTTGGCAAATACTGGCAAAACCTCCTTTTATATGGGAGTTCTATGTTCAGTAGTGGACTGTTAACGACTGATATGATGATGATTATAAATATGAAAGTGCGTTTGTTACCTAACAACAAACTTTGGCGCCTAACAACTCGACCAAACGAGTCCAAATTTGATACATAAGCTGATCTAGACCTTTACACGCTGGTGACACGATGAAGTCACGATTAAAGACTAATCATTACTAATGTGAAACTAAGTTTATTTCTTTATTATATATTTGGGATAAAGAAGGCTACATTTTATCCCAAATAGGTACTGCGTTAATAGTTATTAAAACTAGTAACGTATAAAAATTCAATAGGTGCATATGGTAGATATGCACCTATCTTTATTATTATCTTTTACATGCAGCTTTTGCTGACAAAAATCTGAAGTATTTATCACAGTATAAAATAAATAGATACCTAAATAAGTACTTACCTACTCGTTCTTCTTATAACAAATCACAGGCAGAAGTTAATAATGTAAATTTATATATAATAGTATATCATGAATTTCAGAAATAAAAGAATCAAAATAACGTACACCAGATTTTCAGTTAGACCTTTAGGAACCCAATTGTGAAAACCGCATCCAATTTGGAGCAGTAATAGTTAGCTTGATTCCGGAACAAATATACAGATGGACGAACGGACAGGCAGACAAAGTTTCTATTAGAAAGTAAAAACGTAGAAGTTTTTCTTAAATATCTTCCATGTACAGACACCATCTACTTACAAATCTATTATATTAATACATACTTTATACTTTGTTAACTTATTGTTAAAATATTCTTCAATACATTTGCAAAAAAACACAAATAGATAGTATTAACGTGATTATGGTTAGAGTAAGGAGCTAAAATCCAGTAATATCTACGTAGTATTCATAAAAGTGAACAGTTTTCCCCAAGGAGCTTATTCGAAGGAGAAAATAGGTTATGAACGTCCATACTAAAGCAATTACGTGACAGCATGGTTTTCGTGAAATGTTTAAAATATTTCTCATGTATCTAAAAGTTGATTAATTTCACTGACAGATAGATAAATGGTTTTTTTTTTGTACATGCTTTTTAATGGATAATAATAAAATGTAACATCCGTCAATGCCAAATGGCATACAATATCGAGACATAAGTGAAGAATAAAACAATGACGATAAAGTCTAGTCTTATGTTTTTATTATGCAACTTAGAATGGCAAACAAGCTGACAGCCCACTTGATGGAAAGTGGTAACCGTCGCCTATAGACATGAGCAGTACCATGGACATAACAGAGTATACTGTTTCGCCCTTGATACCCCATGCATTGCTATTCCTGAGGACTCAGGTTTTATTCCTCTGTACCCTGTCTACTGGTTCATGCTGATGAATTTATTAGAACCACGATATTGTCCAGAGGATCCTCTACTGTGTGATCGACATGACCAATATACCCTATATTACAAGCAATGAAGACTAGTATCTCCATTACATATACATTAAATGTAAGTTGTTAATGCATACTATCCCTGGATATTGACATTATTTATAAGATTTTGACATAAGAATACTGATTATACTACCACAAGTGAATAAAAATATATAAAAAAATGTTAAATTAAATGTATATGTACTTGCCTAGGTAGATCAAGAATACCTAAATGGATTTAAAACGTTGAGGTTCGAACTTTTAATTAACATTCTGAGAAGTGTTTCACGTGGCCAGTCCAATCACTCTCCACCTAAATTTATAACAGGCAGATACGAGTAGTACGTCATACTACATTTAGGTATACAAGTAAAAAATTTAATGTCATAGACATTACATAATATTAGTAGTATGTATATATATATATATATATATATATATATATATATATATATATATATATATATATATATATATATATATATATATATATATATACCTTTTTATAATTGGTGACCATAAATTTGTATTATTTAATCATTGCTGTCAATATTTGAACTTTAGCAACATGGATTTTAATTATTTTATATATTTATTAACCTAACTTTATGGACATTAATTATTTATTATATATAATTTCTTTCATACTTGTGCTTCTATTACTTGCATACACCCACTCTAACTTGCCTACCTCACTTTTGAATTATAATTTTTGTTTGTATAAATAAAATCCGTTATTGGCTGTATTCATAAGATTTAGCATGTAAGTTATTTTTTAAGAACTGTGGATTTTTGTATAAAATAAAAAAAAATCAACGAAATTGCATCATTTTCTCGAGAGAAGTGGGAGCTTATTTAATAATGACGATAGGATGATTCTAGGGAAGTCAAAAATCGGCAAAATCAATAACATAATTTATGGACGGCCCCATAGCAATTAAACTCAATTTTTATATTTACAGACTAATTTGGCTTTTATTCAGATTTTAAGAACCCTGAATACTTAATACTAAATTAGCAATATTAAAAAATTACAAATGCTTATGAAAAGTTGGTTAACGAATACTAATTATCGTAAATAGAAAATATTATACACAACTTTTAGTAGAACCAATGCTCACTGACCATGCATAATTATCATTAAATGCCTGTCCGCAGGTACTATCCTTTATCTATGATCCTGTCCATTTAATTTAAATTAAATACCTTAAACGAATTAGCAACACTGAAATCGAATCAATGGTGCCATTTCTCTAAACTATCCATAACCGTACATGTCAATATGATAGTTTCACAAAATTGTTTTTATATACCATCATTAAGTAAATTTAAATAATTTGACTTAAATTTTTTAGAAGTTCAGTTTATATTGATTCTCAGTATCAAGATTTTGTTTATAGAAATTTTAATCGTTACTTTTAAAAATAGCGCTTCGTTATAGACCCCCCCCCTACCCATTGATACAATCGTTTAACTTTTTAGTCTATGGTAGCTTCCGTTAAAAAAATATTTTGTAAAATTGAAATGTTACTTTTGTTTGTGAGCAATAACTTCATTTTAACTTACTACAAAGAGTTTTTTAAAACACATTTCATTAAGATTACATTTAAATTTCGTTTACATCATGGGGGATGAAGTTATTACAGATAATGAAACTCAAACGCAAACGCAAACACAGAATTCCCAAATAGAATGGAGTCAACAAAGTCCAGCCTTCATTCCAAATATATGGGGAAGATTATATCTCACAAAAACGTCCATCTGTAGACAGAAATGTTGGAAAATCAAAACACCAGAATATTACGGTACGTGTTAATCTTTAAAATCTCAATAACAACTTACAAGAGCTCTACAAAGGTACTTAAAAATTGTTTCATTACAGATCTCATCTCTTCAGAATTTAGTCTTGGAAGAGCTTTCACCTGTACTTGTGTAATTAGAAAGGAAATGATTAATGACAAAATTTTAAAAAATATCAGCAAAAAGCATTTTATTCTGAAGAGGGAGTTATCGTATGTATCATTATATCAACCGTTAGTTTTCCATTGCAGAACATAGGCCTCCCCATAATTTATGCCAACCTAAAATTATCATGTTCTAAATAATTATTGATTATATAAAAGTATTATGTATTTATAAAATATAATTTTTAATATCCTTTTAATATTATAAATGTGAAAGTGAGATGTTTAACTCTTGGATCCTCAACTGCTTAAACAGTCATTATGAAATTTGATATCTAAGTTGTATTTGAGATAATGGAAAGTAGAGAGGCTTCTTCTTGTCTTGCTTAATTATACCAGTAATTTTTTTTATACAACTTAGAATGGCAAACAAGCTGACTGCACACCTGATGGAAAATGATAACCGTCGCCTATAGACATAAGCAGTACCATGGATATAACAGAGTGTACTGTTTCAACAAAATGTTATAAAAAATACATACATACAATACAATATATTATATTTACATATATTATACATGTATAGTTGGTATTACATACCTTCTTTGAATCAGCTTCCATCTTAACCTTATTGTTAATACATTGCAAATAATGGAAAGTGATTTCATTGACATCACTTACTGGCATGATTTTAAATGCCATCAGGACCTTCTTCCCTTTATTAAGTGTTTGCCACTAGTCTTTTTTTTTATACAACTTAGAATGACAAACAAGCTGACGGCCCACCTGATGGAAAGTAACCGTCGCCTATAGACATGAGAAGTACCATGGACATAACAGAGTATACTATTTCACCCATGATAACCCCCATGTATTGCAATTCCTGAGGACTCAGGTTTTATTTCTCTGTACCCTGTAAATTCACGCCATATCCCACCCTTCAAACCGAAACAACTGCATTATGGTTGAAACACAAATGGGACAGAGGTACCCAAGCAAATTACTTTTGTACAAAGTCTTTACTACATAGTCATGTGGACAAAATTTCAGGTAGAAATTATATATTGTGTATTCGGTGAATATGTATTTCTATAATAACTCAAAATATATAATACCATACTATTTCAGTATATCTATATAGCAATATTAGTAATAGTTAGTAGAGAATTCTTGTAACATCAGGTCCATCTTTTGTTCCATATTGTTCAATACTTTCTATAAAAAATAACTTATTGTGTAGAACTGATGTGAATTCTTAATTTATTACAGGGAACCTCTCAGTCCAACAATTATTACAGACCTATCTTATAATGGTACTTATGTAAATGGAATCTTAATTGGTAAAGATCACAGCTGTATACTTGATAACAATGATGTAATTTCATTGTCTCATCCGTCACTGAAAAGTAAGCATTACTCTTTTTTTACCACCCTAGTCAGGTTTATTAGAGAAATATCTTCATGCCTATATATGAAGGGCCTGTTTAATTTATCTGACAGACTGAATCGGACTAAATAAATAGAAAAAGCAAACAAACACAGGTTGTGTTTATTTATTTTTTGTGTTTATTAAACTACCTTAAGACAGTAAATAAAATAGAAATAAGAGAACTAAAGTTTACAATATACAAATTAAAATTAACTATTTCATGTGCTGTTTAATTTTAAGCTAATTTATATTCTAACCCTTATTCTTAAAAACTAAAACCTACAAACCTACTTGTAACTATTACATTTGTCATTTTTTCAAATTTAGAATTTAGCATAAAAGATCTTTCTTTTATGCTTTAAAAGATAAAACAGTTTAACAGCTAAAATAGATTTATGAAAGGTTTGACTATTTTCGTAAAGTAGATCTCATATAATTTACTTGTTATTTTTACTTATTTTTTACAATATGATATCCAATGCCTTTTTTTTCAGTTTTTGTATTTAAAGATTTACTTAAAAATGAACAAGACCAAGTACCTTATGAGATCTCTAAAAAATATTATGTATCTAGAGTATTAGGCCAAGGTGCCTGTGGAATAGTTAAATTAGTTTTTGACAAAGTAAGTATACTGTAATGCATTTTAATATCACAAAAATAAAACAGTATTGCTTAGAGAAGTATCTATCCACACCATTTCTACATGCAGAAATCTGCTCATAGTACTAGACTGTTAATGTTAATGAATAATTTTATATCATTGTTAAAATAAATGATGCTTAACTGTAAAACCATAAATGGGGTGCTGGAGCTCTTCAGGGTGGTTTACTTTTTATATTTCTCAGTTTGTGGTGAACTGTCAATTTTGAGTTTCTATGTATTTTATTTTAAATAGCCACACATTAATGAAGTTACTGCCAATATTCAAGTTTTATGAATATGTCTACAAGTAACTAGGGGTGCTTCAGTAACTCATTGATCCTCAGTTATCTATTATAGTTTCCCCAATTTATTAGTGAGTGTTTGACAGAATCCTTTCCACAATATTAATGTAAATATTATAAATATTATATACTGTTTTAACTAATTACACAGACAATGATGTCATTTTATTATTTATTCGATGAGTCTTAGTTGCTAATTGATTGACAAGTTAAATTAATTCTATATTAGACCTGACAAAGAAATATTATGACAAACTAAAAAAATTTCAACAGATGATTTGGAAATAATATTCTATGGGTATAAAATACTTATGTTTGGAATGTCAGATTAAAGTTTCTGAAAATGCTGAAATTAATATGAAAATTAATATTTTATGACAGATTTGTAGTATTACATAAAGTTTTAAAATAAAAAGATAATTTCAATAATTAGTGTTTATATAACAAATTACAGTTATTTTAGTATGGGATGTCCTGGCACCTATGTGTAGGAATATCTAGTAGGCCAGAAAGTGTAGGGTTCCAGGGTTAAGTATTGTACTACAACTATACTTAAATACTATAATAATCACTGAGTTTTCACTGGTATGCACACTATGTAATAATGAAATATTTTTAACTGTAACAATTTGTGTTACTATGGCACACGCATGAAGGAAGGGGAAAGAAAGGAGATTGTTAGTTTATATATTTTGTTTTTTTTTTATTTGTGCTTTTTTATTTTCATTCTTTTATCTCTTTTGCTGTGTATTATGTGTATGTTTTTTTTTTTATTGTAATTTGTGTGCTGTAAGTAATGTAAATAAATTATCTATCTATCTATCTAACAAGGTAGTGATATGTATTTTCATACACAATCAAGTAACACCAAGAAGAATGTGTACACTGACCCAAAACTTGCTCCCAAAAATCTATGGCAAACTACGTAGTACTAAAAACAAATTTAGTATTTGTGTGTTATAATCTAACTCATTATTTCTAAACCTTTTTTATATCGCGATCCACGAAAAAACCAAAAAGTCTTGCGACCTCCCTCCCTTATTCCTCCTCTATTACAATAATAGTTTAATAGGTGAAAACAAGTGACGCCAAAAAGAGATTACTTACGTTAATTTCCAATATGCATAACATTAATTAATTATTACAAATTTACTTTACTACATTATGTTTGATTCACACATAGACCACTACTAATGAATGAGTTTAACCCTTAAAAGCCTGATTTTTTAAATCAAATTAAAAATATATAAGTGTACCCTTTACACATTTACTAATGGGGATAAATAGTATAAAAATCAAAAAGATATTTTTATATATTTATTTTAAATAAAACATTTAGTAACATGTAAACAGCCAAATATTAAAATAAAATCGATTATAGGCGCCCAATACGATTTATAACCCCTGTATCAAATTTGAAACTTCAGATATTTAATGGTTAACTATTCGTTTATTGAATCCAAATTCGAATTAATTGCTCAGTGAAATAATTAATAGTCGGTTTAGTAAAATCGCGCATCGCTACCTTAAACAAATCTTTCGATGTCTTATTATTTTTCAACAGACTGTGACCCTCCTTTAATAACAAATGCAACCTCCAACAAGGATCACGAGCAGCCCCCAAAGACTACAAAATGACCAACCAGCAAAAATTATGCAGCATTTTACAATGAACAGTTTAAACTGTGTCACCCATTACTCTAACCCATCTTATACTTAATAATAGTTATAAAATTGTATTGTAATCCATTAATCTTTTTATCATCAAAAGATAACAAACAGAATGGTATCCATTTTTAAAATATTTTTTAATAAAAAAAATACTTCAAACGATTTCTATTTTGTTCTCTGAGGTATATATAACTACTGATTGTATTTTCAGACAAAATGCACAAAATATGCTATGAAAATAATTAGGAAAAGTAGAGTAACTAATGGACAATTAAATAACCTCAATGACCCAAAGAAAATTATGAACGAGATTAATATTATGAAGTCACTTAAACACGTGAGTTTTAACAATTATTAATATCACTAAAGAAGTAATACCAGCTTCACTAAAATGATTTAGTTATAAAATATACTTTTGTTTCAGCCTTGTGTGATTTCAACAGAGGAAGTGATAGACACATGTGATGCAGTTTACATTGTTCTGGAATTGATGCAAGGGGGAGAACTTTTTGACCGGATCACAAGCCAAACTCATTTATCAGAAAAACTCACTAGGTTCCTATTCAGACAAATGGTGCTAGCTGTCAAATACCTTCACTCTCAAGGCATTACTCACAGAGACCTAAAGGTATTTACATAAATCGCCCATAGCTATTAACAAAGTTGTATGTGTAATATAGCAGAATTTCAGATCCGACATACACAAATATAATTAAAATATTAAAAAATATAATAAACTTAATCTCTATGACAGTGGAGGCATGTTGCTTTGCATATATGGGTTGGATTCTCGATCAAATCAGTTCATATAATTTTTTTTTTTTTTTAATTGGCTTGTTCTGAATGTTACACCCAATTGTTTTGTAAATGTAGTACTGTTTGTTATTTGGTCCCTCATAACATAGAATATTCTATATGAAATGAAATGAAATGAAATTTATTTGCTAGAAACATTGTAGAAAAGGTGTTGCATTTGTGAAGTTTATAAGATGTCCATTATGTTTCGCCACATCAAATGGCATGCAAATATTAATTATGGAATTTATCCATTTTCTATTTTATACAGGTACATCATATATTTAATTTTCAATTACATATACAATAAATCACTATTAGTACGAAGTGTCACTTTGGTCATGCATTACAAACAGTCAATAAAATTACTATAAATAATAAAATGATAAAAATGACAAATAAAATTAAAATTACAATTTAAATTTCAACTAAGTCAATGTCACAGCATTTATACTTTACAAAAACTCATTAATATTGTAAAAATTATTTTCTATTAACCATGTTTTCAATTTTAATTTAAAATAATGTAATGGTAATTCTCTTATTTTTTTTGGTATCCTATTATAAATTCGAATAGCCATTACACCGCAATTTTGTTGATGCAGCGTTGACTTACAGGTGGGTAGTTTCAGTTGTGTAGGGTCTCTGGGTGTGAATTTATTATATTCTGTCATTGTTGTAAATAAATACAAATGTTTTTTTACAAATATTCCCACCTCATAAATATACATTGAGGTAAGTGTCAAAAGCTTTAATTTTTTAAATAGAGATTTACAAGATTCTGTTGGACCAACACCACAAATCGCTCTTATACATTTCTTTTGCGCGATAAAAACTTTTCTTACTAATACCGAATTTCCCCATAGTAGAAGTCCGTATCTCAATATCGATCCTACATAACCGTGGTAAGCGGTAAGGACTGTGGTTTCATTGGCTTCTCTTTTTAACCTTCTTAGAGCATACACAAAACTGTTTATATGCTTCCTTACATTATTTGTATGTCCTTTCCAATTACAATTTTGGTCCAATGTAAAGCCTAGAAACTTTATTTCTTTACATTCGGTTACAATTTCATTATCACATTTTATAAAAATGTTTATTGGTTTCATGGAATAATTCAAGAATTGCATATACTTAGTCTTAGATATATTGACACTTAAATCGTTGTATTGCAACCAGTTTACTATGTCTCTTATTGTGTTCTTTATAGTAATTTCATAGTCAGATTTTATTCTTTCATTTTCAGGAATAATAACTGATAAATTGATATTTAGTTATATCTGGCAAGTCATTTATATATAGGAGGAATAATAGAGGTCCTAGTATACTTCCTTGTGGGACTCCCGATAGGTTACAATGATAATTAGACTTAAAAGACTTTTTTGTGTTTGTATTATCAATTTTATTTATAAGTACACATTGTTTTCTGTTTGAGATGAAGCTTGATATCCATTTCAGAGTAGGACCTCTAATCCCATATCTTTCGCACTTATTTAATAATATAGTATGATTTAAATTGTCAAAGGCCTTAGTCATGTCAAAAAATATTCCTGTTACTCTATATACTAATATACAAGTTATGATTATTCTATACAAGGTATGATTGCATCATATTTATTTATAATATTGAGTATAGAAATCCATGTCATTCAATTTGTATCTAGTCAGCTATCAACACAGTTAGCAAATTAAATTAAACCAAAAGATGGATATATGCTCATGCTCTTGCCACGTCGAATTCAAACCACCGAGAACTGTATGTTCGTTGAGTGTTACTTTCACTACAATGAGAACAATCTACAAATTCTTTTAACAACACCATTTATTATGTCCTTTAAAAGTGTATTCCTTTAAATTTGTAAACAAAGCTGCCATTTGACATAATTTACAAATTTATTTAATTCGTCCCACAGCCTGAGAATGTATTACTGGAGAGTAAGGATGACAGAACTCTAGTCAAAATAACTGACTTTGGACTGAGTAAGTTTGTTGGCGAGGATAGCTTTATGAAGACTGTGTGTGGAACATTACTTTACTTAGCGCCTGAAGTGCTTGGAGCAAATGGGCAAAAGTACTATGGCCCCGAAGTTGATGTTTGGAGTTTGGGAGTAATATTTTTTGTTTGGTGAGTTTGTATTGTGAGTAAATTAATTTTTTATGCTGAGGAAAATGATATAATATTAATAAATAAATTTGTCTCTAGCCTCGACAGTGCAATTATTATTAATGATATGGTTATATATTTTTAGCTATATATTTTTTTCAGTCTTGCTGGCTATTTGCCATTTTCATCATCTTATAAAGACATGTCACTTAAAGACCAAATTGTTACTGGACGATATCGTATCTCGGAAAAAAGATGGCACGGAATCAGTCTTCAGGCTAGGCTGCTCATGAAAAGCATGCTGACTGTGCAACCATCGAAGCGAATAACACTTGACGCAATATTGAATCATCCCTGGATGCAGGTATATATAATAAAATTCCCAAGCTTAATTTTGGATATTACCATAACTACATAAATTTTCTGTCTAAACGTCCACCTATATTCGTCATAGTCAGTAGACTTGCTACTGAGGTTTGGCACTATAAATAAATATATATATATATATATATATCTGCTTAGTAATGCCCATTAAAATTTATATATTATATATATCCCGGAAACTATAACAATTTATAATGTTGCTAGAAACTAATTTAATAATGTTAATAATATAGTCTCTTGCAGTAATACTGATATTATTTAAAGCACTGAAAACTAAAGAAGTAAACCATTCATAAGTTAATAATTCAATAAGTAATCCTATTAATGTAATAAATGCGAAAGTTAGTAACTGTGGATGGATATATATTTTACTTTTTCACACAAAAACTACTTAACGGAATAGATAGGATACCTTTTGTACTGATTCACACGGGTGCAGCCCATGGAATACAGTTAGTTCCAAATATGATTACAAGGGTTAAACTGAAAGTCCTTAGAAAATCAAAAAATGATTAAATTAGCAAGTTTTTACCTTTATTTTATCTTTCAAAATAGAGTCCATTCACGTCAATACATCGCTGCATCCGATAGAACCACTGAGAAAAGCACTTTGCCCAATCGTCCTTAGAGATCTCTTCGACGGCATTCTGAAACGTAGCCACAGCTTCCTCGGCGTCCATAAAAAGTTTTCCTCGAAGTTTTTCTTTTATTTTTTGGAATAAGTAAAAATCGCAAGGTGCGAGGTTGGGGCTATAAGGCGGATGACCCAGTAGTTCTACGTCTGAGGTCGCCAAATAATCGATCGTTTGCCTAACGGTGTGCGACAAAGCATTGTCGTGGTGAAGGAGGATCCTACTGCGAGGTCGTTTTTGACGCACTTTTTCGAAAACACGTGGCAAACAATTGTTACTGTACCACTCTGCAGTAACTGTTTTTCGATCCTCTAAGACAATTGTCGCGTAATGACCTGTCCTTTCAAAGAACGAGGCCACCATCTTTTTCCATACGCTTCGACCTCTCTTCACTTTAGTTGGCAACTCCTCGGAAGGAAACACCCACTGAGCTGACTGTCTTTTAGTTTCGAGATCATAACAGTAAATCCAGCTTTCGTCTCCCGTAACTATGTTAAACACAGAATTTGAGTGACCTCCGTTAAATCTTTCATGCATTTCACGGAACTAATCGACACGACGGAGTTTTTGAGCCTGTGTCAAATTATGAAGTATCCACCGGGCACAAAGCTTCCTGACAGCCAAATGTTTATGGAGGATTTTGTGCACTTGACTCATACCAATCCCTAAGCTTGCCCGAATCTGCTGATAGGTCACTCTTTTGTCAGTCTTTATCATACGCCGCACAACACTGATATTATCTTCAGTCGTCGCCGTAGAAGGCCGGTCCCTTACGCACATCATCGGTGATATTAGTGCGACCACGTTTAAGCTCATTAAACTAGTTGTAAACAGTGGCACGAGACGGGGCTTCATCGTTAAAGGTCAATCGTAGTCTATCATAACTTTTTTGTTAACTTAGATGACATCGAAAAGCATAAAAAATCATCGCACGTAAATTTTCTCGTGTTAAGTTCTGTATTATTCGTAAAGAGTTCCATTTTCAAAATTTTAACAAATTTTTTTATTATATTGCTTTTAAGTAGCCAGTTCTAAAAATTTTCAGTGTAGCTCTCGTACTCTTCAAAAATTCTGCTTCTGAATAATGTTAACCACCATTTCAGGATGAAGAAGTTATAATAAGTGTTGACAAATTGCTTTCCAATGCTACACAAATGAAGAGTTTCAGCGAATTAACATTATCAACTGATTCGGATCAAGATGAGAACAGCAACTCTGCCAAACTTAATGTAAATGTAGTTGCAACTGGCAAACGCGTATTGAGCGACAGCTCCAATTCTTTTGAACCGATCCCAAAGAAATTGAAATTGGTAGCCACAGAAGGGAAAGACAATAGTGATTCGACGAACAGTTATTATTCAGAGGAATAAAATCTCATTTTTAAATAATGATATGTTCAAAGATTTTGCTTTTAAGTTAGCAATTATGAAAATAATAAATACTGTTATTTTAGTAATGTGTGGCCATTTTATGATTGTGATGATAATCTGTTATTTATACTTAATTGTTGATTATTTTGTCGATTTAAAACTCGAAGTGAACCTCGTAAACTTAAGTCATTAATTGTACACCAGTGTTATTATTAATGTTCTCCGAATATTGTGACAAGTACTTGAGAAACAGTATACCTTTTTGTTATTCAAAATATTAATAATAATGAAAAAAGTAAATATTTTTATAGTAAAATAAAGGGTTATAGTAATTGTTCTTTTTACATTTTTAAATGTTATTGTTTGTAAAAGTGCACTTGCGATATGACAATTGTTGATTTTATGAAGATATGTTGCAGAATGTTTACTATTTCATTATTGAATATTTATGTTGTGATAACTGTTGTTTAGAATTAGAAACCAAGTACTTAATACAATTTATTTTTAATAATTGTGATTAACATCACGATGAAGAGACATGATGCCGCCTTTATATGTAAGATTTTTCATATTATCGTGTTTGTATTACAATTGAATAATTGTAATGTACCAGACCACCAGATATCCAATAAGTTAATAAAACCAATATTTTATAATAAATTATATTTCGTTTCAATTCCTCCATATACAAAATATTTACAATACACATAAACAAATTTAGGGAGCAACCGAGAAAGCAAGTAATGAATTCAGTCTTTACTTATATATTATATTCAATACAGTTTAACGTAAAATAAATATTAAAAGGTAATCTAATTGGGCAGAAAATAATAGTATTATAAACTTTTAACACAAGCCATATGTGACACCATCAACTTATCTTCCCCTGTCACCTCCATTTATTTCTGATTTCTTTTAACAAAATGTATACAAAAGCAACAGAAATAGGATATGATAAAACTATTAATAGATTTTTGTTATCAGTAATAAAGTCTAGTGAACTAATAATAGGAAAAATCCTATTTCCTGTCAAATTTTATTCATATCAACATTCATTGATAGGTTAATTTTATTATCTGCTTATAGTGAGGAACTTTTTTACTATTCATAAATAAGGAACTTTTAGAATAATCTAGCTAATTAATAGCTATACTGTTAAACTGCATGAATACTTAATACCAGAAATAAAAAATAAATTTTCAAATAAAATACATATTACAATAAAATAATAACATAATGATTCAATAAGTATAAAACATTAACTATTTCGAAAATAATAAATTGTATGTAAATGAATAATGAAACAAAATAATTAATTGACAACAGAATTATAATATTTACATCTTGTATACTACTTACATCGGCTGGATCAGAAAACTACCTATCGAAAAATATACCAATAATGATACCCTTGCGATCTTATTTATGTACAATGCTATTAAAATTAATAAGTCTGGCCTTCCGCCATATTGTGGCTAATAAAATTTTTCAATTCCAAATCTGATAATTTCTACAAAAAAGAAAAGATATGTATATGCAAAATATGCAGCTACATTTTCAAACACCAATTTGTCAATCATTATGTAATCGTAATTTAGATATATTGGTATATGATTGAATAATTGGCTACAATACTTTATAGTAGTATATGTAGTATGGTATTTTAGGCACATTACTTCTCCAAATTAAATTAGGTAACAATCTATTGTGATGCTTAGGATCAAATTCTTACATTAAATTTAAATACAAACTATCTCTCGCAATCATATTTCTGCTTTCATAACCCGCTCTGCGTTCGTACCCTATGCATTTAAGTCAGTCTTTCCATGTCATGCTACAATCAAATTGCTACAAATGTAGTACATTCTTCAAAATTTTTTAACAAGTACTTTGGACCAGCCCATCACCTAAATTTAAAAAAAAGTACAATTCAAATTGTGATTTTTTACAAACCGAACATATTCTATATACAATCTTTAATCAAATATGTAAAATCAAATGATCTGTGCGTAAAATATTAAATAAAAAACTTTCATGACTGTTCGCTAAGCAAATTAAATTCAGTTATTTGACTGTAGCATATGCAAATATTTTGTGAAATATATTCACAGCTCCCACAGATTTAAGGAGAGTTATATGTAATTCCAACTTATTTTTAACTTTTATTTTATTCTCCACTGACATTCTCTTCTTCTGCCCTGCTATGCGATGGTTCTGTACTTGGATGCGCAGCGATTTCTGTAATTAAATATTTTTAATAAATAAGTCGTGTTACATTTCATAGTAAAAAAATATTCCCCATTTAAAGTAGTATTTGGACAGCCATGCTAATCATGCTTAATAAGCATAATTTATGAGCTGTACACTCACCTAAAAAACTCTACTTCTAAATAACTTTTAATGAAGTAACTGAAACAATATAATTTAACAAAATAGAGAACAGAAATCTTTTTCAGAATTACAAATAAATACCAATTTAACATTATACCAAAATAAACCTTATAACACGACACATACATGGTATTATAATAGACATTTCAATTTTTCTTTTTAATTTGTAATAAAAAATTAATAATGACATTCTATTAACAATCAGATTTAACTTGATAATGTTTAATATTAAATATCATATGCAATATCACACAATGACACACATATTTATGTTAAACTTGTCTCCAATTGGAGTAGGTAGATACAATGGATTAGTTATCCATTGTAGATTTTTATGTAACTTGAAATGATGAAAATCATTACTCACCAGCAATTGTTCTATCTACAGTTTGTTTATCCTTAACAATGTAAATAGCCGTTAGAAGGAAGAATATGCCCCCTAAAACTTCTACAAAACAGGTCACAAACAAGGCATATTGTAGTGCCCGGAATTGCACAATCTGGGAAGGCATTTCTGAAGGTGAAGGAGACAACGACCTCTTAAGGCTTTCTGATATCTGAAAAGAAAACAATAAACAAATTAAATAAAATACCGATTAAAAAATAAATCCTCCATGAACAACGCCATCCAATGAGTCACAGTTAATATTGTGTACTTTGCCTTAAGTACATTTAATATGCTATAAAATTAATAAATCTTGGAGGAAAATAAATTATAATAATAAAAAAGAGACTTAATATACGTGTACGTGGTCTATTTCTTAATTCTAAATCAGTTTTGATTTGATAGAATTACAATCAATGGAATTTACTAAAGAAAAATATTAATTTAAAGTTATATTTATAACTTCACACAATTATCGATTGATTTTTATAATGAAGGGAAATACTTAAAAAAATATTAACGGGTTTCTTATCAAACATAATAACAACAACAATAATAATAATATATAATTATATTAACAGGTTTATTTTTTATGGCTTTTATAATAAAATTAAAATACAACTTTAATCCTTCATGGGGTAGTCAGAGGCATTTAAAGTAGAGCAACGTAGCATGTGGGCGATCCTATATATAGGTGTTTACCATTACCAAAGAGTAGTTAAAAAAAAAACTTTTTTAAAAATATAGCAAAATTGTAGATTAGATAGGTAAACAAACTTTACATTTGCAATGGTCGCATGACGGCATTATTGCTTCTAGATTTAAATTTAGTAATTCTCTTTATATTATTATTGGACATTTGATAGAATGTGTATATAAATTAACATACCACTCCAACCAAATAAGGACTACCAGCATCACCAAACATATGTGATATGAGTATCTGGAACGCTTCGGCAGTAGATCGCCGCGGTGGAATAACCACATACTGAAAGAGATTGATCAAGATTAAAAAACTACAGATAAAAAAAAATATTAATTTTATACAACGGTCATAATTATTATTAAAATAAAATATAAAAACAGAACTATGTACTTAGTTGACTTATTGTTAAATTAGATATAAAAAATAATATTTTTATATAATAGAATAAAAAAAAATTGTCCACAATGATATAACGTGCATTTACTATTTTTATTAAAAATTACTTAACTAAAATTATGTATACTAACGCCATCTAGACAAGTAGTAAGAGATTAAAATGGCATGCTAATGCTTAAATGCAATAATAGACGTATTTAAAATAAATGCTAATAGATGTCGCTGTTTTGCAAGATTTGAAATCAGTTCAATCGACTCGAATATTTCACAAGAAAAAATATGATGTTATCAAATTCCAATGAGATAGTTTATTCATACTTTCAAGAAACAATATTTACAACCAGACAATAGTGAACCATGATAATGCGCTAATGAGTGACTGATTTCAAATCTAAGAATCTGTACAAAGCATAATAAGGCAATAGAAATAAATACATAACAGAACACTAATAAAAAAATTAATCATGCACCGTACACCAAAACAAAAAAAAAACAAATAAAAAAACAACTAAAAATAATAAAACTTCCCATACAGATCCCTTCTGGCTGCAATTGACTTTTATGAAAAGCCAAGGGCTGGCCAGAAGCGAGACCGCGGAAGGCGTCTCTTACCAGCGACATATCGGCCACTATTGCCCAGTTGAGATTCAAAGCGACTTGGCCTAGGAAGACGAGGATCAGGGGCGAGTAGAAATAGCCCTCGGTGAGGAGCATGCCGAGACCGATGGCTGGCGCGGAGAGTAGCAGGCCAATGCCACAGACGAGCGGATGCGCGCGTGGGAACCGCTTCTGCAGCGTTGCACCCAGCCACGAACCCAGCGGCACGCCTGCCAGCCCCGACACCATCGTCACCACGCCGAAGATTAGCGACAACCTTCGTGCAATAACCGCCTGGTCAGCCTCGCCACATTTCACATGCATATATCGATTATGCGTTTAGTTTCCGACCGTTTGACGGGCAAATACGACCTGCCTTACGTTCTTACGCATGCTCGCTTTATATTATATACTTTTAAATTATAAAATAAATATAAAATAAAAGATCGCGTGTTGATAATGTAAGAAGCGGCATTCTCTAAATATTAGCAGCACAATGGGATGATGATTCGGCGACCTATCGTATGGTTAATGTGACTCAAAATTTATACGTCTATCTCATCGGAATATTTTTCTTGCGACAATTCGAGCCGGTGACCGATTTCTGTTCATGCATGTAACGCTTGCAATTATAATACAGCAACACTTCAGAAGAGCAACTTAACAAAGTAAGATATCCGAAATTAAAAACATAGTGAAAGAATGTATACGTATTTTTTTTTTATTTAACACCAACATGCTTAAATAAAAATATATCTTTTTATTTTGCTTAAGCATATTAATGCATTATATTTAATATTATTAGCATATTATATTTAAGCAACTCTTCAATTCCGGAACGGCCGTGTCGCGTTATTATATATGCGAGCATGAACAGACAGAAAGCGCTCACCAGAACGATATCGGCGACGATGGACCACGTGAGATTGAGCGTGACCATCCCGGCGAATATCAGTAAGTATGTGAGCGCTACGTGCGCGGAGATAGTGATGAGGCCGAAGTAGACGAGCGGCGCGGACACGAGCAGCGCGAACCCGCAGATGAGCGGGTCGCAGTCGTGCAGGCGCGGGCGCAGCCGCTGCGCGAGTGCGGAGCCCAGCGGCACGCCGATCGCGCCCGCCGACATACCCACCAGCCCGAACTTGTACGAAACGCTGTTCCATTTTCAAATTTAATATAGTCCATATAATTATTTACTCCTAAAAGGTAAGCCCTAAATGTTGAAAATATCATTATCGATGGACTCATTCCATTTTACATGAATTCATTGATACGCTTCGATTGTCACAATTATATCATTATTCGTTTGGAATATTATATACACAGTGCAGTTATAAATGTATTGCAATAAGGTCAATGGTTAAAAATTAAAAAAAGGAGGGACACCGAGGAGTAAATATTTTATTATTGAATGGAACTTCAAAAAAAGAACTCACAATTCACCTGTATTTAGGTACACACAGAGATACATGCATACCTATTAAAGCCTTATTACACACAAATTTAATTATTTTTATAAAGGGTAGTAATTGATTTGTACTACAAAAGTAATGTTACCTTTCAATAGTGATATCGACGTCGGGTTGCATGGTGAGCCCAAGGAATATGAACTGAGGTCCCCACCATGCGAGAGCGCCTGTCACGAACGCTACGCATGTGAACGCGAGCGTAGACAGCATGAAAGACCGGCTGAAAATTAAACGTTTATAATTTAGTATTTTTAGCTGTTAGTTTTCGAATTTATATTGAGTAGATTCTTGGACGACTTGTCGAAATATATATACGTATTTTCTATTTAAGAGGACCATGTCCAGCGCGGTAAGACATTATGGGTTACGAATATAGATAGCCATATAGGAGATAGATAACGTCGAACATAACAACTCGATACCGATATACATTGGGTATCATCGCTACCATCCCATGCTTATTATTAATAGGAATCATTATTATATTTCCAAAATGAATACTTTATTATTAATACTATCATATGAAGTTTATATAGTCTATGGACCAAATTTTAGATAGATTTTAATATCGAAACAATTCGACTGATAATTCTATCGAACGCTATTACGTCAATCACTTAGCTTAGAACTAGAACAATTTTGACATTTCAATATGGAACACTTTTAAAATCAAATTATAAATAAAATCTAGAGGAATTTATGACGTTATCGGTAGTACGGAATAAGTTGTTTTATATTTTTTTTTATATAGAAACAAGTTTAGGCACACTTTAACAGGAATGACAGACATTTTGAAAATGTTATGGAGCTTCTTCTACGACCTGCCCAGAGTAATTAGCCTGTGTTGCGATAAAGTCGGTCAATTTACTCCTATATAAACGTCCCGCGTTATTAGTTATGTATGGATATGACGATGAATATCTAATATAATAAAAATGTATTTAGACGATTTCTGTACATAAGAGATATTTAAAAAAAAATAAGATTAACGAAAGCCATAACCAATTTATTTTATAAATTTTGTCTGCCTGTCTGTATGTTTGTTCCGGCATCACGCAATAACCACTGTATTAAATTGAATGCTTTATTCTTTATACACAGTGACTAGTAGAATAGCAATACTAATTTTTAAATTTTATTCTTCAATACATAACACATTCACCTTAACAGGTTAAACCTATGAATTATGTAATAATAAAAAATATTTACTGCGAAAAGCCTCAAGTGACCTTGGTATGGCAGATTTCCGTTTTCATATTCACATTACACAATATTAGACAATGTTTTTAGGCATATGACGTTGCCTTTTCTTACATAATTTCTATTTACTTATAAGCAACATAAGTCGTACTTTCGGTTCGCAATACATTTTGGCTGATTTTTGTTTCCTCCTGGAGTCTCCATGTAGTAGTAGATACATCTATAGATTAAGTAGTTAACCCAGCAAACGTCCATCCATAAAAATATTAAGGGTCAATTATCGAATCCAGATTATCGAAACTGAATCCAAATTGTAATACATATTTACAAAATTTCATTAAAATCAATCAAGGGAGTATGTATATAATATATAATGAAGATTATTTATTAATTATATTATAAAAATATAATCCTATTTTTTAAATATAATAAAACCTGCGATTGAGTCAAACCTTCTGATTAAGATATGGTTAAAATTTTATGCAATTATTATTTTTGTAAGCCAATATATCAGAATAGGCGAGAGTGGAAACGGTTGGAGGAGGCCTTTGCCAAATGGCAAACAGATCTTCAAAAAATAAGTAAGAAACAATTATTAGAATAAGTTATTTTGAGTTTTTTTTTTTAATTTTATGTTTGTTTTTAATGTACTAAGTTGATCTGAATAAAGGCTATATTATTATTATTATAAGCCAATATGCATAAAATATTTACTTTTTGATAAGAGCGCGTATATCATCTCTGTAGGAAGTCGGTTTTATCTGACTGTCTTCAGCTTGGCCACGTTCCGGGTCTTCCATCACCCACAAGATAAGTGCCACGGCCACAGCGCCCATAAACGGGGTCACTCGTAGACCCCAACGCCAATTGCCAGCCGCCGCTCCCGCCAGCGAGCCCACAATGTATCCCATACCACTGAAAAACAGAAATTTGTACTATCAACCAATGTCTTCTGAAGGTACACGAAGATTACCTAAGCACACGTTGTTTTGGTCCCCTATCCCCACTTACTCAGTTCATTTTTTGACCGGGAAAATCCGATAACACATTTACAAAAGGTCATTGAAATCGGTTGAGCAGTTTCGAAGATTAAAGCGAAAGAACATTATAAGCCACACGGGTTTTTATATGTATATTAAGATAAAAACTAATATTATCTATTTTTATTTATAAGATTTATTTTTATACGACGATAGTCTTTTTTTATAACCAGTATCCCACTGTCAATTTCTCCCTATTCGTGGCAAAACCAGTAATTGTAATTTAAAACCAAAATATATAACCGATTTTGATAGAACTTTTATGGGACCAACCTGAAAGTAAATGTGAAAAAATACAATCGAATTGAGAACTTTCTCATTTTTTTTTAATCGGTTGAATAAATCTCTCTCATGGACATCGTAGGAGACAACTAAGGGAGCCTATAATAGATGGGTGGATATGTGGGATGGGCAGCAGCGTCCCTCTTAAAACATCAACAAAGTCAAACCCGCTTGTCAAGCGTGGCGACCTTCTGGCAATACCCACCTTACGGGGGAGACTATCGACAGTTAACGGCTGATACAATACAACTGATATTATTTAAAACAATGGCACTGTTTATTGTAAAACATTTTTATTATTTACACAGGTGGCCGGCTTTTAAACATCACGCTATATTGCATAATTCTCGTTATTTATAATAAGACGTCATCGTCTAGAAGTCTGTGAAATGGAATCAGTATCAATAGATGTGTTACCTGCCAACAGGTATGGCGAAGTAGAACAGTGCTAACATCTTGGAGCGCACGTTGCCCACAAATAAATCGCTGATGATTGTGGGTGCGATCGTGGAGTACGATGCTTCACCGATACCGACCAGCCCACGGAAGAAAGCAAATAATGAGAAGTTCTGAAAAAAAAAAGAATTTTTATATTATTATCATTTACTGTTCTTTTACATTTGCAGTCTATCTTTAATTATATATAATCAAAATATACATAATCAAAACATTAGTAGGCAGGCACTCACAGCTATGAAGGATCCAATAAAGGTGGTGACACACCAGAGTCCGACACCAAACGCCATGATGGCGCGCCTCGAGTGCCGGTCGCCGAGGTAGCCGAATATTGGCGCGAACACCATGTACGCCACCACAAAAACTGTCTGCAGAAGGCCGGCGCTATCATCGCCGATGTTGAATTCCTTCTTCACGTCACCTAGCACTCCTGAAAAGTAATACAAATTAAATTATATACTCAATTTCAATAAACTTGGAAGTCGGAAATGTCGATTTTCTAATTTTACACTCAATGTTAATGATATCAAAGATAATATTTTTAGCCGGGATAGAATGATTAAATAGTACGTATAGTACAATAATACGTCTACATCCATTACCTACGCAATGTTGTTTAATTTTGATATTAGCTAGTGTTTAAAAGGAGTTTATTTATCAGATAATCTTAAAAAAAATTATAAACGCGGAGTATTTGACATGGCTATTTTCATCCTAGTCATGCGGACGAAATCCCAACCAAAGTTAGTACATAATATAAAAAAATTAATTAATGTTATTAAAATTGAAAATAATTGTAGAAATGCTTATGGATTTAGCCTCTTTCAATATCTATAAAAATCTATTTCTCAGTAATCATACGACATCTTGTATTGGAGATTTATAATCAAAATCTGATATTTTTACTTAGCAGCTTATTTTAACTTTATATATTAGAACAGTGACGATGTTATTGTCTACATTTTATATGTATTTAGTAAACCTAAATTGTTTAAAATACAATGCAAAAAATGGCCTTGTGAAGGTGAGTGGCCGCGCATTCGCCAAACAGAAACGCATACACCGCGACTGTAAGTTTAAACCAGTCTACTAAGACCGGAGCTTTTTTATTAAGTATTATCACGTCATCTCACAATAATGAAAAATAATATTAACTTTAGTAGGTAATAAAGAGGATAGAGATAAAATTATTAATTCTAAATGTAAGTATGTAAGTCTGTAAACAAAATATTATTGTTATTATGTCACGAACAAGTAGTGTTTTTGAGAATAAAGGAGTTCGCATATTTGGATCATACCTACGCTACGCTTGGGGTACAACCATCTCTTATGGGATATCCATAAGAAATGACTATTTTCTGCATAACTAGCTCCATACAATTACATAAACAGAGTTATAGCTTAACTCTGTAAGAGTTCACCTCGCATTGTACATATTTATTTAAAATAAATTATAACGCAATTTTTGTGTACAATAAAATATAAATAAATAAAATAATAAATAAACAGAATTTAATGAAACTGAAAAGCAAAAATAAAGTCCATGTTATATCACTCGCCAATGATAAAGATTCGGCACAAGTGCCAATACCGTGGCAAAGGCAAAGATATAAATATTTGGTGGGAATCTTTCTTTTAAAAATTGTATTATCTGCGCTGTTTGTTTGGTATTTACTCGTTTGTCACATAAAGGGCTTAAAGATTAAAACATCTAAGGTTAAAACTAAATTATTTTTTTGGAAGTATGTTAATTTTCTTTTTTAATAAAAAAATATTGAAAAGAGAAATTGGCTCAGTACGTGCAGATGTGATGGACATAAAAAATATCTTAACGGCCGGCACTTCTGCATCTGCAGACTCTCACGAAGGTGCAACAATTGCCGGTGAGGTAGTTGAAGGAGTTCGCAAAGAAATCGACAAGCTTGTCACTTACGAGCGTGCCCTCGCGTCGTGTACAACAACCTACGCTGACAAGGCTAGGATCATCCCGCCTAAGAAGCCGGCTGCATCCAAACCAGCAATTATAGTATCATCAACTGACCCCGCTGGATCCTCAGCTCACTACACTCTGAACACTATTAGAAAGAAACTGCTCTTTAGGAATATCGGTTATACCCCGTACAGAGTAGCCACAATTACGCAAGGCCGAGTTCGACTCGAGTTTGACAACACTCAGCAGCAGAAAGACACATTGGAAAGACTCAAGTCCATTCCGGAACTACAGGCCGAGTCCGTCAAGAAAAGCCTCCCTTTGATCATTCTCAAAGGAATTCACAAGGACCTGCCCTCAACAGAATTGATTGATACCTTACTCGATCAAAATCCAAGCGTTAAAGAAGCAGCAACCTCAGAAACGGATGCCCAGTTAAGTTTTTTGAAAAATAATAGGAACCCTGTGTTATATAACGCCGTCCTACGAGTTACTCCTGCCATCTGGAGAACCATTATGACCTTGGAAAGGGTCAATTTGGACTTTCAACGCGTTAGAGTAGATAACTTCTCCCCGTTTAGGCAATGCTTTAACTGTCTAAAGTTCGGCCATACTCGAGCTAAATGCGATGCCAAGGATGTCTGCTGCTCTCATTGCGCTGGCGCTCACGCCATCAACGTCTGCCCTGTTCGCAACGACAACAGTAAAATATGCTGTGTTAACTGTAACGCTTACAACCAAAACACTAGAGCCAAAGTATCAACGTCTCACAGTGCTACATCTAAGGATTTTAGCTGTAAGGCAGGCAATTGCAAACAACACAAACTATGGTTAACTTAAGTCGCTGCAATATACAAAATTCTAAACATCATGAAATTAATATATTACAATGTAACGTAGCCCGATGTTTCAGGGCACAACATGAGCTTATGCAGAGTTTCAACTCGGGCAACTACGACGCTGCGCTTATATGTGAGCCCTATACCGGTAGTAGAAACTTCATGGGAAACCCATATGACCATCATATTTTTCAATATCCATCTAACTCTCGAGTTAAGGCTTGTATCGTCATAAAAGGGCCTTATCAGCGCTATTGGATTAGCAGAGCACTCATCCGCCAACGTTTGCACGATCCAAGTGAATACGGCTGGCAAGAAACTTTTCCTTAGTTGCGTTTATTTAGAACCTAGATATGGCAATCAGGCAGACAAGCACACTACTATGACTGGACCACAGGCGCTATTAAAGCTGGAAGCTTTTATTCGTACTACTGCCGATGCTATGCATTTGATTTGTGGAGATTTTAATGGATGGCATACGGCATGGGGCTCTGCTTCTGTCAATTCAAGAGGCAATGAAATCATGGATTTCATAATCGCCAATGACTTGATCATCTGTAATCAAGGCTCAGAACCCACATTCACAACTACAACGCACGGGCAATTACGGGAATCCATAATCGATCTCACACTGGCGACTGCCGGAGCGTCTCCCAGAATACGTAACTGGCAAGTTAACAGAGAGATTTGTCCATCATCTGACCACCATGCCATTGAGTTCGTGTACACAATCCGAGGGCGAGAGCTTCGTTGTAACCAGACCACCACCACATACAGATTTAATACTAACAATATCGAATGGAACAACCTCAAAGCACCGTTCATGGATCATCTAATTCAAACTGAAATAACGACTCAAAACGTTGAAGCCATGAACGAGGAACAGCTGGAAAGCTTTGTAGTAACTTTTATTAGTGCTATTCAAGCTGCATGTGAGAAACTTCTGCCCCGATTTCGTGCCCGAGCTCCGCGATGCCCTTGGTGGAATAATGAGCTTCAGAGTAAAAAATTAGAGGTAGTAAAAAACCACCATCTTCTACAACGTCTCAAGCGTAGGGGAAAACCTATGGAACAAGCCCTGGCAGAGAAGAACCGGCTTAAAGAGGAATACTCTAAGATGTTTAACGAGGCCTCCACACGACACTTCAGACAATTTTGTGCTCAACAGGGTAAAGAGGATGTCTGGGCGGTCACCAATCGCATAATTAAATCTGTTCCAGCACCTCAGTCACCCTCTACCCTGAGACTGCCGGACGGTACATACACCCAGAACTCAGTAGAAACGGCAAAGGTACTGCTCGACAGATTTTTCCCGGATGACACGCCAGATACTCGAGAAATACATGGAGTACGGCGAATCGAGTCAAAATATGAACCACACACTGAGCCGGAGCCACGGTATACGACTGACGAGGTCCATAGGGCGATTAGTGAAATGAGTCCGAGAAAGGCACCTGGTCCTGACCACCTCACAGCGGACATTTGCCAGTTCGTAGTGGAATGTTTTCCTGAACTAGTAACATCTATTATGAATAGATGTCTTACGTTGGGGTATTTTCCAAGAGTATGGAAATCTGCTATCATTAAACTAATTCCCAAGTCCGGCGGAGGGGACTTCTCAGATCTTTCATCATCATCATTTCGTCCCATAGGTCTTCTCAATTTATTTGGTAAGCTCTTGGAAAAGCTCACAATCGGCAGATTATCTTTTCAGATGCACGTGAATAATAATTTTAACCCAAATCAGTACGGCTTCAAATCTCAAACGTCAACTGTTAACGCCTTATATGATGCCATCGACCATATCAGACAAGGCATTGCGAGCGGTCACCAGGTAGCCGCTGTGTCTCTTGATATAAAGGCAGCTTTTGATAATGCCTGGTGGCCGCTCATCCTCTGTCGTTTGCAGCGTATTGGTTGCCCCTCCAACATCTATCGACTGATGGCCAGTTACTTGGAGGATCGTATCGCTACTTTTAATTATGCAGATACCTCGATTAATAAACTACTTACTAGAGGATGCATCCAGGGGTCGGTCTGCGGACCTTTCCTCTGGAACTTGATTCTGGATGAATTACTGGAAATGGAGCTTCCCATTGGCTGCAGGCTGCAAGCATATGCCGATGATGTCCTGCTTGTAGCTACAGCTAAGAATGAAAGCAAGTTACAGGAAATAATCAACACTGCTTTAGAGCAAATACAGGAATGGGGTCTTGATGCCAAACTGACTTTCAATCCAGTCAAAACGCAAGCGGTAGCATTCACTACTAGGGCCGCTCGATGCAATCTTTTCATGAATGCACACCCCATACAGTTTCACGACTACATAAAGATACTAGGTATAAAAATTGACCGTCGTCTCAAGTTCACGCACCACGTCAACCATATCATAAATAAAGCTAAAAAATTGTTTTCCAAATTAATTATATTTACCAGGCCAACTTGGGGTATCTGCTCTGAAAACATCAAAATTATCTACAATCAGGTGATACAGCCAATTATCTGCTACGGCGCTTCCATATGGCACTCTGCGCTTAAATATAAATTTTGCCAAAAAAAGCTAATATCCTTGCAGCGTGGCTTTGCCGTGAGAATAGTGAGGGGCTTCCGAACACTGAGCACAGAGGTCGCTATAATTCTTGCTCAACTCACACCCATTTG